TTGTATAAAATAAAACATATATGCTTGCTTGGTGGACTATGTAACATAACACCTGTTTCATAGAAAAAAAATAAATGTCATTCCTTGGGAGTTGCTGGGAGAATTAACTTCCTTAGTAACCTCTCTTGCCCGGGACCAGCCTCCGGCAAAATATCGTGTCAGGGGTTCCTGAAAGTATGAGACGGCCTAGGCGACCTGTAAGGGGCTGAAACTTAAGGGCTGAGGGGAAGGGGATAAGGTAGTGAGGAGACTCTGACACTGGATGAGGTGCAAGTATCTTCTGCCGAGAGACTCAACAGATCTTTATTTATTCATTTTTAGTAAGCAGAAAAAAAAATACATCATCATGTGTAAAGCAGAAACAATTAGTGTATTTTATCCCATGGACTACTGGCTCCTATGGGTCCCAGCTAGACGGTAGCCTTCAAGGTTCATAGATAAAAACCAAACCTTACACTAAAACTTATTATTTCAGCTAGACAATTACCTAAGACAGTTGATAGCCATCAGTACATCCCATCAGCTAAAGCTTAAGCATCAAAAGACTATTTTATTCATATGGCCTTCAGCCGGAGACCAGCAGCTACTCAGCTATCAGAACTTTTTTCTACCTAGAAACTTCTTAACACAGTTAACTTTATTTAAAAACTTTCCTAAGAAACATCTAAATAAAAAGGGAAATTCTAAAAAAGCAAAAGAAGGATTTACTATAATTGTTGCATTGGATTGCTTGTTAGGCATGTCTTCTACCCTTCATGTACAGATAATTTTCCATGCCATTTATTTGCAGTATACTGATGCATATAATTTATTACCTAATGTACTTTCTGGGAAATTTTTCTCTTTTATGACCAAGAACAAAAAATAAAGGGATGTTAGCTCTTCAGCCCCATGGTGTGAGGCACTAGGAATCTTCAGCCCCATGGTGTGAGGCCCTTTACCTTTGGCTCCACCATGTGAGGCCCTTTAATTTCGCTCCTTGCCAGTGTGTTATCTGACTGGGGCAGCAAGGCCCCCTGCTGCACTCTCTAAATGAAAAGTTAACAGATACTAGTGATGTGATGGTGGGGCAAACCTACACACTGTGGCATGGCCAACCACCTGTTAGGAAATGGACTTTTGTGGCCTGTAGTGACCCCCCAAAGGCACAAAACTTCAGCTATGATAGAGCAGAGGAGAGGAGCTGGAGACTACCAGGAAACTGGCAGAGAGTAATCCCTGGAGAGTAACACTCTGCAAGCTCTTGCAAAGCACAGACAACATAGATCACATGGGCTTGCGGGCACTGGACAGACAGAAGCACAATGTGGGAGGTTTTTTTTGGACAGTGGACAAGTCATGACATAATCCAACCCTAATAGATGATTGGGGAAGCAGACACTGAGGCAAAAAGTTATGCAAGAAAAATAGAGAAGATAAATTATCCATTCAATAATCTGTTTAGTTTTGTACATGTGTAACTCGAGAGAAACCTGACACCATCTAAACACATTTCACTGATATTTACATAGGCCTCCAATACTCTTCAAATAGAAAATATAGCTCCCAGACAAAACTTTCCATAAATTACAGCATTCATGTATCATTCACCCAAATCAATGGCATGTGACAGCTTTATAAAAGTTTCATTGACAAAGAGATCTCAGTTGATAGAAATGCAAAAGTCAAAGTTGCTTATTGAACAATCTTGATCTTACATCATTTATTGTTGCTCAGAGTGCTTGAGAAAATTTCTCACTAGAGTATGCCTCCACCTTCATGTCTTTTAGCGGAGATATTTAGCCATAATCTTTACTCAACTGCAAGTTGAGAGATTTTCAATATAGAGATTTTCTGGTGAGTGAATGTACTTCCTGTGGCAGACTATTTTGCTTACAAGCTTTGCTTTTGGTTTGTTGACTTATAAGAACATAACAGCTCATTTATTTACTTTTTCAATAAAATGTATTGAAATCTACAATAGGGTGGTACAGTGTCAGGCTTGAGGGATCAGTCACGATGGAATGTAGTTATTAGGGTTTGTGAGAGAAACCTGCCTGAAGAGATGGGAGGCATATTTTTGCTAGCTACACTTCCATTTAACACCCTCTTACCAAACACATTTTCCGTGGCTACATTGGGATGGGGGAGTGTTGGTGGTGGATATGTAGTAAATGTTCATGTGAACTGTGTTAGGACAGCACAAGGCCTGAGACCCAAAAAGCCTCTACTTAAGATAAATATTCCATGTTTCCAGATGGGAGAAATAAGCTTCCTCGTGTCAATTTGCGATTTCACAATGAAAGACGGAAACAATGATGCATCACAGTCAACTTGAATTACTCTTCTTGACAGCAAAGCCCCGGGTCTCTGATAGAGACAAATTCTTCTGTAAATGTTAAACAGCTTAAACAGACAGGGTGTTAAGTGGTTTTTTCTATATTTGACATGTCATTGCGAAAACAAAATCTATTGTGGATTTTCACACAAAAATCTGAGCATCAGCAATTTACTAAACAAATCTTATATGTAGAAGAGGAATACAAAATAAATCTGAAACTCAAACAAAGAAATTTCTACTAAACAAATACATTTGAATCTTTGTAAATTGGGTTAACGGCACTATAAACCTCAAAATAGTTCCCTAATAAGCTTATATGAACCAGATCAGTATTTAATTTCTTAGATTATAGGCAAAACCTAAGAGATCAAAATTAAAGAAATATAAGACCCTCTTTTCTTCTTTTCACTGCTCAAATTTTGAGTATTTTACCATTTCAATAGGACATGTTGAATTCAAAGAAAAATTTGTTAAATAAGAAGAGGTAAAAGATAGTTTATACTTAAGGTTTTTTTTTTAAAAAAAGAAGAGGTGTTTATCTTAGGCCTTCTTAGAATGGAAGCTGCTGGAATGAACTTAACTTTTTCTTTTTTTTTTTTTTTAATTTTTTTTTTTTTTTTATAGAGGCATGTTTTATTTATTTATTTGTTTGTTTGTTCGTTTTGTTTATACATGCACTGGGTACAGTCAGAAGCACGGGAGGGTGAGAGAATTCACCAGAGCCAGAGCGGGGAGCAGAGCAGGCAGAAGGACCGAAGTAACACTGCTGAGGGGAGCAGCGGGCGGAAGAGTTCTGCGCGCCATGTGGGACCCTCCTCCGGTGGCCGGGGAGCAGCCGGGATCGAACCGGCGCTGCAGAGGCCGCGGGCAGCTTCGCAACCCAGCGCTCAACCACTGCGCCACCGGGGAGGCCCTGAACTTAACTTTTTCTTAGGGCTCCTACCACATAAAAGACATCTAAAAGTGCTGTGCCCTCTCCATGATAAACAAGCAGCATTTCTAATTACCGATGGAAAAGAAAGGAGGACATAGAGAGAAGCCAGAGGCTCTTTTAGAAGGATCATTCTCCTGCTTCCTGGTGTTTTCTCCTGTGACACCACTGGATTTCAACGTTAGGTCTAAGGACAAAGTGTTTTCTTAACTTTTATATAACGGCTTCTCTCACTCTTGCCTTTGCGTATTTGTTTATATGAATATGAACAACATATATGTTTATATGCTCATTATCTTCATCTATATATTAATTAAGGCTTTCAAGGTATTATATTATTGTCATTATTACTTAAATGTTGCAAAATAGAGCTTCCTATATGAATCAGAAAGATTATTATTTAAATTGACCATTCAGACATATTCTGAGTCTAGAAAACTACCCCAATATTTTCTGTTATCCAA